GTATATATATATATATATATATATATATATATATATATATATATATATATATATATATATATATATATATATATATATATATATATATATATATATATATATATATATATATATATATATATTTAATGAAAAGTAACTATTTACTATTTACTTGATATAACTATTTACTTGAGTAATTTTTTCATCAGATACTTTTTTTTTAAGATTGTTACTTTTACTTTTACTTGAGTAAAAACTTCCGCAAGTACTTGTACTTTTACATGAGTATAGATTTTGGATACTCTACCCACCTCTGAATGTGAGCTAGCGAAAGTTTGATTTGAATCAGATTTTAAACTTATACAGTAGACTATGACCATAATAAAAGTGCACCATAATAAACAGAATAAGCAATGCCCCCCACCAGAGAAGGTGATATTGAAGCCCTCGTATGACATAGAGAAGTCCGAGACAAATCGTAGCTGGACGCTGAAGTTGCCAAACAAGCCGGCTTTGATGGAGGGCGGCAGGACAGAGCCTGTGAGCCTGGCCACTGGCTCAGTGAAGCTGCCGTCCTCTGTAATGAGCAGGTAATCATGAGAGTCCTCCAGGTGGAACGTGTGGAAGAGAAGCTGCACTCCTGGGGAGTTTCAGATGAGATTAGGGCCGTCAGTCACAAGCAAAATCTGCCTTTCAACCTCACAACCCACTGAGAAGCCTTTAGAGGGAACGTAATACTGATCGAAACAGAATCGCATTTGCCCGACATGGCGCTCGGTAATAAAATGAGAAATGTGAAAGGTATCTTAAATTTGTTATCAAGGGTAATTTCAAAGGGCACAGAAATGAACCTGATGAGTAAAACCATTGAGCCTCAAACTGTTGTCAGTTTAAGCTCTAGCGTCTGTAACCTGCTCTTTCTGTCTCACCTTTCCCACGGGACACCTCGACCGTCCATGTGCAGTTCAGCGAGTTTGGGTAGAAATCTGGAAATCCAGGGGAAAGAACCGTTCCCGTTTTCCCGTAGATATAGCCCCCACACAAAGCTAGAAATGAAAAAGCAAGAAAAAATTATCAGTTTTAGTTTATTTAACTAAGAAATACTTATAAAGGGCACCTATTTCACACCTTTTTCAAGATTTGAGATAAATGTTTTGTGCCTCTAGAATGTGTCTGTAAAGTTTCAGCTTAAAACACCCATCAGATTATTTATTAGACCTTTCAGAATATTAGAATTTGCTGCTCTGAACACTATGTAGCTGTTTTTGTTGCCTGTGCCTTTAATGCTAGTTCTCCCCGCCCACCGTCTACATGCCTGTCAGAGTGTGCTTCAATCTCCATCTCGTCTGTGTCAGATAAACAGCACAGTGACAGACATGACACGTAATTTGAGAGAAATAAGAACTTTCCCAATGATTATTTGATGTATTTGTTGTGAACTTAATTCGAACCTTTCTGCAGCGATGAGTCAAACACTCGTCACTACATCCTTCTTTTCCCAAATGATGCATCGTACTATGATAGTTCAGCTGCAAGTTAAGTCATTGTTTGGGAAACGCACCACAGAGTAAGTAGAATAGCTTCACATTCAAAAAAAAAAAAAAAAGAATAACACATAGAATACACAGAAATAGACATGTTTGTACATGAAAGGCAGCACAGTGTAATGATATAATAACTAATAAGAGGTTGACATCAGATGTACTTGAAACGAGATCAAAAGCAGACGTACTGTATTAACTGTGACACATCTTCAACTGAATAATACATGTCAGTGGAGACAGTCAAAACAACACACACACACACACAAAAGAGCTTGTTTGTCCTTGAAGCACCAGCCATCATAACAGAATATTGAGAATACAGTGTGTGTCCTTGAGCCATGCTCATCGTCCTGCTTTTATCCAAATAAATCACACAGCACAGGTTATAAAAGAAAAACATATTTTTGAGCTTCAGCATTTTGTCCTCAAAAAGCCTCCTAAATCTCTCCATAAACAGATTTGTTGGGCTTATTAAATATGAAGTTAGTCGATCCGAGAAGATAAATTAATCTTGATTAATAGAGAACACTTTAATTTATATAGCCAAGCAGCTGTATCTAAACTTTTTGTGTATTTTAAAGGTTATAATTTTAGTCACAGCATTATTTAAACATTAATGAATAAATAAATGAATAAATGAATAAATAAATAAATAAATAAATAAATAAATAAATAAATAAAAACTCTTAAATAACATAATAAATGAATATAACTCTTTTATTTTTGGTGTTTTTTCTTTTTTTTTTTTTAGTTTGGGCAGATTTTTGACAGCTTTTGGGCAGGAAAAAGTCTGCTAAATCTGGCAACCCTGTGCATGGGTTTGCTCTGGGTGCTCCGGTTTCCCCCACAGTCCAAAGATACGCGGTACAGGTGAATTGGGTAAGCTAAATTGTCTGTAGTGTAAGTGTGTGAATGAGTGTGTGTGAGTGTTTCCCAGTGATGGGTTGCAGCCTTGATGGGCATCTGCTCCATAAAACATATGCTGGATAAGTTGGAGGTTCATTTTGCTGTGACACAGATTAAAAAAAAGCCCCGCTGTGGCTCCAGAATAATAAAGGGACTAAGCTTAAAAGAAAATCAATGAATAAATAAATAAATGGATGGATGGATGGATGGATGGATGGATGGATGGATGGATGGATGGATGGATGGATGGATGGATGGATGGATGGATGGATGGATGGATGGATGGATGGATGGATAGATAGATAGATAGATAGATTAATTAGATTAATTAGATTAATTAGATTAATTATTTAGTCAATCAAAATTAATTAGTCAATCAATCAATCAATTAATTAATTAATTTTTAAAATGTAATATATTTTGGTACACTTGAATAAAACATATATTTACTAAAATATTTAGTCACTGAACACCTTTTGAAATAACAGATAATACAAATAAATTCAAGCAAATTATGGCAAAAAAATATATAATATTAATAATACAAACTACAAAATTTCAAATAAATGTTATACTTTTTTGTCTCTCTTGATTAGAAATTTGCGTTAACAAGCAGTTGGACAGGTGTACCTAATAAAGTGGCCGGTGAGTGTACATTCTAGTGTGTTCCAAAACAATAAAAAAAAATGTAAAAACTGATATAAACAAAGTTTATGCAGTTTCACCTAAATCGTCACCTCATACCAATCAAATGTCTAGTATCTGGCCCCTTCAAGATGCTTCTCATTTGATGTGCTTACGCTCAACTACTCTCATTGGCAGAGCGGTGATATAACAAAACACTATTGGCTGTTTTTTTTTTAAAGGAGGAGTTAGTTTAATGGGAGGGGTAACTTAGGAGTTATATCCCACCCCCTCTTCATTTTTCAGTAAGGATTACATCAAACTTTGAATAAAAAGTGCACATTTCAAAGCACATCATGGCACCTTTAATATCTCAGTAGAAACTTTGAATGAAGTTATGACAATCTTATATGAGAACGGTGAGAATGACAGCGATGGTAACTCTAGTATGTACAGAATTCTGCTAGTTCCACTGCTAATTTAAACAAATGTGTATGTACATTCCCACAAACAAATGGAGAGCATCTGTCCTGTCCATAATGAAGGTCAGGCTCTGATGGGAGCCCATCAGAGCGAATCAAAGTCTGTTACAGCAAAAGCACAGAGCTGATAACACAGAAACATAAGAGGACAATGGGAATTCTGGAACAGACCTGATTGCCTTTTACTGGAAAACTCTTTGTTTACTTCAATCCCTGCAATTGGCAAACAAGTAACATAAACAGCACTATCCTGCAGTTATCTGGCCAAAGCCTTACATTGTTTGTCCCCGCTATACTGTTCTCCCCCCACCTGTGTTTTAGGTTATCTATGAGACAGTGCATGACAGTCACCTCTGCTCTAATCAAAAATGTATGAACTCAAATCTCCTCAGAGTCTTAAGAAGGCTTACCCTTTCCCCTCTGATAAAATTGTAATGCAGCCTAGCAGAAGCAGAATATGGGCCCGATTAATGCCTTTAGTTTTCCTTCCAAAGTTTTCACCATCGACCTCATAGTCTTGCCTAGCCAGACCTCAGACTCACCTGCTAAAGGTCTGTGAGCTTTGGCCACTTTAAATGATCAAGGACCACCTGTGGTGCTATTTGACAGACAGGTTCGGGGGTGCCGCTAGGGGTGGGGAAGTCTTGTTTTTAGGCAAACTGATTAAGGCCCTGTTTACACTAATGCGTTTTCGTTTTAAAACGCATAAGTTTTGCCACGGTTACGCCATCCGTCCACATTACGCCGGAGTTCTCGAGCGCCGAAAACGGAACATTTTGGAAACGCTGGAGAGGCCGTTTTCATTCTAAAACGCTGCTGCTCCGTTTCATTGTGGATGAGGAATAACGGAGACATCTGAAAACGGAGGCGGAACTACTTAGATTCGCTACCTGATTGGGGCTTTTGTGTCATTGTGTCATTGCTTTAACGTTACCGGAAGACAGTACTGTAAACAACAACATGGGCACAGAAATGGGAACGTTGTTTGCACTATTGTCTGTTTTAGGCGCCATTGTGCAGTGATTCATTTGTTACGTTTAGTAACAACTCAAACTCGTCGTCTGTCCACAAAAATACCTTTCTTGCTTTCTTTGCCATCGCGTTTAATGTTCAACCGGCGTTTGTTGACTAACAATAACAAAATGCCGAGCGAGACGCATGCTTTCTGTTTATACTAGAACGCGCATGCCCAGAGTGTGCGAATGGTCACGTGATATACGTTTTTGGTGGCGTAGTGTGGATGGAGATATGTTTAAAGACGCTAGGTAAAACGCTAGTGTGGATGTGGATCGTTTTTTATCTAAAACGCTGTTTTAAAACTAAAACGCACTAGTGTAAACGGGGCCTGAGATTGCTGAAAACCAGACTCCTGGAAATCCTGTATATTCAAACCAATCAGAGGACGACTGAGGATCTGCTGAAGTGTTTCCAGGAAGGAGTACCATATGATTTTAAATCGCAGATCCGTAGGCGACGCTTGGTGTGACGTCTGAGTCTGAAAATAAGGTGCTCATAACACTGTGCAAGCTGGCACCAGGGTCCAATTCTCCAAAGCTCTTTTTCCCCTTCACAAGAAAGCTGATCCACTTGTACATGAGCAGAATTGAAAAAGAGAGCAACATGGCCTACCGTCACAGCTGGGCAGCGCATGGTTCCACTGATGGTTTCTCTCACACACAATGGCTTCCTCATCGCTCAAAGTATAGCCTTGATCGCAGCTGAATGTCACACTGGAGCCAATAGCGAAATTGTTCCCGTGCCTTTTTCCATTCACCGGGATCCCTGGATCTAAACAGGAATCTGTCTCCATCATAATGCCTGTGGAAAACAAATGCATAAATAAATAAATAATCCCTCTTACAAGGTCTAGATGGAAAGGAGGATGCTGTCGGAAATACTTCATCCAGCATAAATCATCAGATAGCCTTCTCCCCAGCAATTTCCTTCCTTCAACCAATACCTTTTTCTGTAATATTTTGCTTGTAGGGGAGTTCATAAGACAGACATGACTGAAAATCCAATAACCATTTACACATGGTTATGACTGCTGTCGTTAAATGTTGTTAGTGTGTACTTTTAATTGCAAAACTGACATTGTTTGAGATGTTTTTGTGGCAACATGACATCATCAAATACATCACAGCCTGTCATTGAATACGTTTACATGGACATTAGTAATCCAAATAAATTGCCTTGATCTAAGTTGCGTCACCGCGCTATCCACATTTCAATCACAAATTTGGGTTATTCATTTTTCATTTTTCAACTTTAAATGCAGTTCGGCAGCTTCACTTACATTCAGGAGCATTTCATTCAGGCCCCAGCATGACAAACTGAGGTTTCGGATGCAAATATAAAGTAAGGACTGGTGGAAGAGTGTTGTTTTAATGCAATTTGATACCGCACACCAAATGGAAAGAAAAAAAACTCTGCATTTTGGTGATGCAGGTCTTGACTTGGTGGGTGCGGAGAATAGTGTCAAGGAGCCGTGTGTGTATGTATTATCCTGTTGCCCCTTCAGAAAAATCCAGCTTAAACCAGCCTAGGCTGGTTGGCTGCTTTTAGCTGGTCGACCAGCCTGGTTTTAGAGGGGTTTTGGCCATTTCCATGCTGGTTTCCAGCCATTTCCAGCCTGGTCTTAGCTGGTCAGGCTGGGAGATTTTGGATTCTTATATATATATATATATATATATATATAAAGAATCCAAAATTCTGACAAGTTAATAAATAAATTCATAAATAAATTATCTAACATCAAATTAATAAACAATATGATCAAAGCAGTATAGACATACAGTAATGTATATGAGTTAAACATATTCAAAACAATTACTTTTTATTTTGACATCATTGATTTCCCCTCTAAGGAATAATAATAATACTAATAATAATAATAATAATAATAATAATAATAATAAGGGCGGCAATACTAATATTAGGGGTAGCGATGTTGCCTCACAGCAAGAAGATCGCTGGTTCGAGCCTCGGCTGGGTTAATTGGCATTTCTTTCTTTCTCCCCGTGTTTGCATGGGTTTCCTCCTGGTGCTTTCCTTCACAGTCCAAAGACATGCGCTATAGCTGAATTACAGAAAGTAAATTGGACATAGTGTGTGTGTGTGTGTGTGTGTGTGTGTGTGTGTGTGTGTGTGTGTGTGTGTGTGTGTGTGTGTGTGTGTGTGTGTGTGTGTGCGTGTGTGTGTGCATGTGACTGTGTAAGGGTGTTTCCCAGTACTGGGTTGCAGCCGGAAGGGCATCTGCAGCGTAAAGCATATGCCAGAATAATTGGCAGTTCATTCCACCGTGCTGACCCCTGATAAATAAGAGACTAAGCTGAAGGAAATAAATCAATAATAATAATGCATTTATGCGTTCGTGAATGTGTGTGTGTGGTGTGAATTGTGAGAGGCTGGGTCCCTCTAGTTTCCTGTCTACTCCAGATGCAGTCCTGTAAGAGACATTTCCTGGATGGCTGAGTTAATAGCAAATGTTTTTGATTGTTGTGCTTGTAACTTCATGAAATATTTAAGAAGTTTTTAACATCCACATCTTAGGCCAGAATACAAACATTTCCTAGACATTTTACATTCTGTAAAAACACCACCGTGTACACTCAAAGGATGTGAATTGTAATGCTCGATGACAGCAGGAATAGGAGCATTGGGCCGGTACATACTGTACTAAACTTTTCCTTTTGACAATATAAAGTCTTGAAGTACACTTTGCCTCTATTGAAATAATCTCATACTGTTCTAAGCTGTCTAGCCTTTTTTTTTTTTTTTTTTGCCATTGCCTTGAGAAATCAAGTTCAGCCTCCTGTATTAAAGATCTATAGCAGTGATTGGGAAGTCAAGCACATTTTTCAGGCTGTTGATAGAACATCCCGCAAAGAGCATCTGATTATTACCATGGCCTGGAACTTAAGAAAACACCAGCAAATTAAGAAAATGTCTTCATCAGTTTGAAGATATATATGTGTGCGTGCATCGCTAATTAAGTACCCGAAATCATTGCAATATGTATCTATATGGAGTTTCACATAATCATACTCATTAGGGCTGTAACATGCCAATGCATACATTTAATTCGGCTATACGGTTGTATTATTGTTAATATGTTCGTCAGTTGAAATGTTTGGCACAGATGTTATGTATTTGATGCATATAAACCTTGATTGAAACATAATCAGACCTCGATAGTGCAACTAGCGCATGCGCACTGAGTTGTTCATGATTAACCTGGATGCACGAGCGAGGGAGCTGTGTTCAAGTGAAGGACTCCCCTCCTCCCCCCACCCCGGCCCACACCGGTCCTTTGTAAAATTGACAACCGTTGACCGGTCCATGGTGATAAAAAGGTTGGGGGACCACTGGTCTAAATGTGTCTATACGGTTGAAAAAAAAATCACCTTTCAGGTCATTAGCTATTTGAATGGATTGTAAGGATTTGCAGTGTTTACTATTTGAGGATATACAACACATGCGCTGTCAAACCGATAAAGAGGTTTTCTTAATTTATTGGTGGTTTTTCTATTTCCACATGTTTAAGTTGCATCATTTTGAACTCTCATGGCCACCGTAGGTTATGCACTTAGCTCATGTTTTTGACAACAAAGTCAAATTTCTGTAGAACGCATCTAATGAGATGGATGTTGGTTTGTAGAGAACATTACCCACTGCAGGGCTGATGGTTGGTGACTAATGGGAATAATGTGGGCTCCAAGTAATGCTGCCACCTTTCCAGAGTATTTCTTTTCTCATTCGTTCTCAGTCACAGAGTAATTTAGTTCTGCTAAAAAAAACCTCTGCTAGCGTAATCACAATCCTTCTGTCATTTTAAACCTACACCAGGACCACTGTATCTAGCATCAATATATAAAATAAATGAAAGGTCAAGGTTAGGACGTCCAAGGATGGAAGGTGAGGCAACAGATTTTATTATTTAGGAAAAACTCCTTGAGATGCAGCATCTTGTTCTTTACCTAAATATAATATACAGTTGAAGTCAGAATTTTTAGCCCCTCTTTGATATTTTTCTTTTTTTAATATTTCCCAAATGATGCTTAAGAGAGCAAGGTAATTTTCACAGTATGTCTGATAATATTTTTTTCTTCTGGAAAAGGTCTTGTTTGTTTTATTTCCGCTAGAAAAAAAGCAGTTTTTAATTTTTTAAGTACTATTTTAAGGTCTTTATTATTAGCCCCTTTAATCTATTTTATCCCAATAGTCTACAGAACAAACTATCATTATACAGTAACTTGCCTAATTTCCCTAACCTGCCTAGTTAATCTAATTAACCTAATTAAGCCTTTAAAAGTCACCAACTAGGCAGGTTAGAGTAATTAGGCAAGTTACTGTTTAACGATGGTTTGTTCTGTAGACTATCAAAAAAGTATATAGCTTAAAGTGTCATGGTTGCAGGTTTGTGCGCTCTTCCGCAGTGTCTGTTTGATCATGTGAGTTTGTTTTGTATTTGTTTTGATCACGTGTTATGACGATACTCAGTTGGGTTGATTAGTTCGCCAGCTGAGGCTCATTATCACGCCTATATATATGCGACGTTTTCCGTGTGCTTATGTGTTCGTTTGTCTGTGCTCAGGACCGTGCGGAGTTACCACTGGACCCTGTTTTCCCCGTCTGATTCCTGCTCTGGTTTCTCCTAGTCCTAGCACCGCACTCTCTGTTACATTTATCTTGACTGTGCCAATAAATACTATTGCACTTGGATCCATCTGAACATTCTTTATACGTGACATAAAGGGGCTAATAATTTTGACCTTAAAATGTTTTTGAAAAACATTAAAAACTGCATTTTATTTAGCTGAAATAAAACAAATAAGACTTTCTACAAAGGAAAAAAATATTATCAGACATACTGTGAAAATTTCCTTGCTCTGTTAAACATCAATTGGGAAATATTAATAGAAGAAAAAAATATTCAAAGGGGGCTAATAATTCTGAATTTAACTCTATCTACATTCAAACATGCATACATGCATAAAAATAAATAAATATTTAGATCACAACAATTAATTTTTTGATGATGCTGGTCAAGTGGCCGCCAGCCAAAAGAGTGAGAGGCAAGGCGTTGTAATTGTGTGGAAGCATTTAAAGTATCTAAGAAGAACACACAATTCGCTAAAAGCAAGCAGGATGGGCTAGCACAGTGCAGGACAGGTTTGGAATGCGAGTTTTCATTTGTTGAAAGAGTTTTTCCTGAAGGAAGATTTTCGATCCGCTGCAGGTGCTCGACGGAGCAACATCGATTTCTTTCTGTTGTGTCTTTGATGTTCACAGAACTACAGAAATGACGAAAGCTATCAAAATGTCAGCACATTTTGAAGAGCAGAACTCATTAACCAGACCAGTGATGTTTCATCAGCACTTCTCTGCGGGCACGTTTTAGCCTGTTTCATCCACACAAAAAAGAAGAAAACATGGTAAACGCAAGACATTTGTGCCGAATGCTTGCCGAGTGCTCTTTTTAACTGATTGAGTAAGTGGCTGGGTTTTTTTGTGTGTATCATTTCCTTGTAGCAAACTAACGTGTAAAGGGTGTGTGGTTAAGAATATTGTGGCTAAAGCCACCAAACTGAAGTCAACAGAAAATGACCACGGCTCCAAATGCAGAAGCAAATGGTCAGACAGAGAAGGCAAGAAGGTTGCTGATTCGAGCCATGGCTGGGTAAGTTGACATTTCTGTCTGGAGTTTGCATGATCGCTTATGTGGGTTTCCTCCGGGTGCTCTAGTTTCCCCCACAGTCCAAATCAACACAATCTCACGGCAATTTGTAACTTTTGCATTTAGTGGCTAATTCGTA